TCCATATCAGTCTGGGTTTTTTTTTTTTTTGTAGTTTAATTCGGTTTAATTAAAGTCCCAAAAAGGTTTTATGAAGTTTAAATGTGCTTCAACACTGACCAAATTACAGGGAGTATTTCGGGCAGGAGGGACAGATTTAATATTATCTTGCACAAGCCTGAGTTCTCTTCATTTTTAATTAGAGGGTTAATCATTTTTTCAGCTGGCAAGCCCCCACTCAACCATCTCATGTGCACCGGGTTGTTGAGTTCATGGCACAGCACACTTCCTCCTAGATTCTATAGATAATGTGATGTGATGCCATGTATATCTTCTCTCAACGTTTCATTAATTAATTTAAAACACAATTTGAATACAAAATTAAATAACACAATATTAAATTAGATTAGATTGGATTAATGATTCCCATTGGGATTTGGGAAAGGGCAGGGATTATACAAAATGGCATTGGCATATTGACATTATCTACACTAGCATATTCGATTTTTTGGCTGACCAAATTAATCAAAAATGTAAAAATATTTGTATATTTTTAATATTTTTTACTGTTGTCTGGAAATCAGGATGCTGGTCTGATGTTGTTTTCTAGTTTTGCCTCTTTTGCTGCTGTTTATACTCTGTTCTGTTTACGTTCTGCATGTCATAATGACTGAACAACAGACGACTTTACAGGCAGAGTTTTCAAAGTAGAAGCCAATGTCTTGTGTATAGACTAAAGATTCCTGGTAAAAACAAATGTGCTTTTCAAACTAAATTTCAGTTTTATTGCACATTTCTGTTGTTTACACTCGTCCTATTCTGGATTCTATGAATTAATTATTTTTTTTTGTCCCATATTACGCAAATAGAAAAATGTGTCTTTGTTTTATTGTGGTTGTTCACGGATGTACACAAAATGTCGCTCTCTGGTTTATGCTGCATTGTAGCATCATGTTTGCACAATGTGTAAACACTGGTCATGGAGTCCCTGACAAAGCAAATATAAGAATTAATGAAATGTATCAACACATTATGCAAGATTTATTGTCAACCCAAGGCTTCAATTATTTCCCAACACAGCTCAAATTGCATATGGCCCAGAGGTTAGCGCAATTCCCACTGCGCATACACACACAGTTGTTATTATATTCTTCCCTCTGTGTATATGTAATTCTGTTTTCATCATAGAGACAAACCTATTTATCAAAACATTTGAGAAATTGTAGGCATTAACATGATGCTGCATAGTTTAAAATAATGGCTACAAATGGTTCTAAATAAGGATAATAATGCTATTTTACTTCAGGTTTAAACAAGTATAAATTACACATTCTGTGTATGCTAAGTAACTAAAGTGAAGTATGACTGCATTAGCCGGCATTCAGTAATCTCTAACACGCTGTAAAAACAACCGTCACTAACAGCCTGCACAAAATAACAGCAGGAACACAGAGAACATTAATGTGAATATTTCAAATCAACCACCCACCTTGCCCCGTTGGAAGAGAGCTTGTTTTACCCCCAAAACTCCACCTGTTTTGTTGGTCTCTCACTCTCTCTCCCTCCCTTTCTCTCTATTTCAGTTGCATTCAATGCGAGTGTGTTTGTGCTGCTAAGGAGGTAATTATGCGAGTGCAGCACAGATAAAGAGGAGAACTAAAACCTCAGAAAAATTGTTGTGGTTGATTTAGATCAATTTTCTGAAAAGCTTTTGCATGCAGTCCGACACCAATCATTTTTTATTCATGGTAAGAAGTTTTCAAAATATCTAAACACTCTTTGAAATTATTTAAGTTTTCAAACTTCATGAATCGTTTTTTGATATCACCTTTTGTGATGAACACTTAATGAACCAATTAATATTCCCCACTTCTCTGTCTGCATGCAGAGTGCAGCCAAAAAATAGAGCAGTTCTTATATTTTATGGCAAAGGAAGAGGTCAGTGATAATAAGGCCCCTGTGTGTGAGCTCAGTTTAAATTATGAACATCTTCTAACATTTAACATAATTCACAGTCGTTGCAGTGAGCGGTGACCTGCACTGAGAAGTGCTTGAGTCTTTACCTCTATTACTGTTTAACAAGCTACCTTACCAGCAGTGGCTGACACACCTAATGCTCCCCCTTAAAGCACAAAGGGTTTTTAGATATTACACCTCACTTTAATACATTTTGCCTCGCTCTGCCATTTCCATCAAGATCTAATCCTTCTATAGTGTGTGCATGCATGCAGATCTTTCATCGTATGAGGTTACTGCACTGAAAACAAAGGATCTCATTCAAATGCAATCTCATGATTCCATTAAGCACGGTCACACCTTAGTTAGAAAGAATAAATGCAAAAACATTAAATGAAACGTGCATTACATGAATATTACTAGTGGTTACTAGACTTATGGTAAAGATGTAAAAGTAAGAGTACATTTGGCCCTGTGGATAAGACGTGTAAGCTGAAGTATGAGTGCAGCTGCAGCACCTTCTGCAGGTTTGGATAAACATGTTGTCCCAACAGGCCCACACAGCGCTGACTTAGCCACTGCCACCGGCAGAGAAAGAACTGTTTGTTTTCACATGAGATGCTGAATAATAATGGATCGTTTTCGGTTTTGTTACTGCGTTTAATATTTCAGAAACAATGAATAGGAAACCTAAGCTCTGTCCTACATGCTTTAGTAAAAGTATTCATGAGAGATTTCTAAATTTTGAATTCATGAATCCAGTAGACCAAAAAAAAGCTCATTTCACATATGGTTGAGTTGTGTGCACACAATTAAGACCTACATCCTTTAGTTTACAACGTAATCGCAGCATTTTGTTAATTTCCTTTTATTATACCTTAGGGCTACTTAGGTCATGGCTAAGTTAAAACCTATTGAAATATAAATAATTACTGTATTTGACCACATTGTTTGAGAAAAGTGTGTACACATTAAATAAATAAATAACAAGCAATCTGGTTTCTTTTGCTTTGTATTGATAGATAGAAATGATTGATATTATATCTGAGCCTGGCCATTATTAGACATAAAGTGAGATGTTATTTGAAATTGAACATTTATGAACCTATTGCTGGAAGTAGCAGAGTAAAAACTCTTTATGCAAACATGGCAACCCAAACGGAAATCCTCCACAGGTTAATATGTTTGGGTTTCAGGACAATATTGCAGATTTCCATTTTAGAGATAGAAGGTACATTTTTTCAGAATTGTAAGTAATGATATCTCTTGATCATACTTTTGTGTATAACGTGGATTTTAATCCCTTTGAGAAACACTTGACAACATCTAACACAGCAAGAAATAGCCCTTGATAGATTATTGCTGCATCAGCACCTGGGTAGTGAAGCAAAATGCTTTGAAAGCAAAATCTGAGAGCTTGAGGGTTGACAGGGTTCATGCAATTAGCTATTGAAGAATGTGGTGTGACTTTAGCACTACATGAAGAAAGTTATGCTTAAAGGGCAGAAAGAAATTACTTTTTTAGTCTCCGAGGGGTGTACAGGATTTACTGTCTTCCTATTACTGTAAAAACACAAACACACACATGCCACCTAGACAGGGATGTACAGTAAATAAGTGCAAGTGAGTGTAGGTTGGGAAGTAACAGATTCCACAGGGATCTCAATAATCACATGAAAAAAAAGTCACAGAAATACAATTCAGATTCTAGATAAGTGAAGAAAAAAGGGTGTGTTATGAGTGTGTACATGTGAATCAGTGTTAATAAAATGTGCTATGTTTATCTGATAATGATGTAGAGACTGATTACAGTGAGCCCTGTTTGTTCCAGGACACAAGGACTTGGCAGGACCATGACTCTGAACCATAAAAGACTTCAGCACCGATTCAAAGTGTTGTTCCCTTCGCTCAACTGAACAGCGCTCAGATCTGCAGCAGCATTCAAATGCCTCGGGGGTTCAAATTAGACTCAGCAGGATGATGCAGACTCTGTCCAGACTGCCATGTCTAGTGGTGGAGATGGTTGTATCATTCAAATGATCAAAACCATAAAGACTTAAAACCTTACAGACTGAAAGATTCTTTAGACACACAATGAAGTCTCTCTTTTTCACAGTCCTGAACACCAAGCTGTAATTTTACCTGCAGAGACAAGGTACAGGGTATTATTTCATGTGTACTATCACCTAGCGCTATTCAAAGTGTCATTCCTTTGTCTGTCACCTAAAGTGAAAGAGTCTGACTGCATTGTCTTATTAAATCAACAGAGTCTAAAATGAGTGAATTGTTACAGTGAAACAGAGAAAACACAGCACATATTCACACATTCAATAACACCTCCCAATCGTGCATTGTCTCCCACTTACACACACACACACACACACACACACACACACATAAGCTATAACAAACTCATACGCTCCTGTGTAGATAACATCAAGGAGCTAATGTGATGATTCTTTGAATCCTTTGTAGTGTCTGTGTTTGTTCAGTCGCCCACTTACACTTATATAACAATTGAGTACATGGTATTTTAACATAATGATCAAACATTTATCCACTTGGTAATGAGATTGTTTTATTCAGTGATTTGGAACTTACAAACTGTCATGTTTCTTTTATTTCTGTTTTGAAACAACAGAAACACAAAGTGGATTTGCACTTTTCACGCATAGTGTGAATATGGGGAAATTTATGAAGGCCTTTTTTATAATTAATTATTGTCTGTATACTTTTCTAACATAAAAAACCCTTTAAAAACATGACTGGACATTCACAATGGACAATTCACAGTGTGGTAATTAACTGCAAAATATGTTTTGCTCTGAAACTGGTTTGTGAATACATTTGCTGCAAGAAATATTGTTGGCTAGTTAAATATATTAAATCCTTCTTATTAGCTGGCTGTCTTCTTCATCACTGTCTATGTTTGTTGCACATTACAACCACCAAATATCAGGGGAATAACATGAAACCAAAGGCAGGATGTGAATCTGAATGCTCTCACGTTCTTGCATTCAAACAACACTGCATTCAAACAACACTCAAAATAACTGTTCCTCAAATACTCCACAGGATACCTTTAATTATGTCATGCTTCACTTCATACCTTGTTTATGTGTTACATGTGCATTTTTGACCTTGAGAAACAGTTGACAAAAGATCCCTTTAAGGTCCATTTAGCAGCAGTTCTGGTGCTTTCGGTCATGTCATATGAGCTTCGTCAGCAGATAAACATGGAAGAGAAGTCCTCAGTAAAACTGGAAATGTATTTACTTTTCCATGACAACTGGACAAACTCTGTCAGCTATTGAAGATCATTCAATATGATAGAAAGCTCCAGAACAACTAATGGACCTTGAGGTGAGATTGTTTTGTTGTCTTCATTATGAGTTTTGATGGTAAGTTGCATCAACATGTGAATCACTGTCCATAGATGGCTGTTTGGTCCAGCTTCCAGCTGCAGAGCTCCGTCGATTCTCATACTAATCTCATGCTTTAGGAAGTTATGTATAATTATCAGCCAATCAATAATCAGAAATGGGTTAACTTCCAAAGCATTATACAATGGATTTTGTCAAACCTAAAATAAATCCACAAAATGGAGTACAAAATAGCCCTCTTTTATCAGTTTGACTACAGTGGAGTGCTGTTGCACCTTTCTAACCCTTTTAATTTAAGAACCCGTACACCTGGTCTGCTCTCATCCAGGTAGTCCAGGACTGGGTTATCATAAGCCAGCTCTGCCTTCTTCTGTGTAGACTCTTTCTGCGGGTCAGCAGAGGTCGTCTGTATCGAGATCTGCTCCTCTTCTTCTTCTCCCTGCCCCTCCTTGCATGTGATGTTGCAGCAGATAGTTGCCTTTGTGATCAAGCGGTCAAGCGGTTTGAGAGAGCGCATCCACTGGGGCAAGAAGTCCCAGGTCTGGAGCTTCATGGGCAGGTGGCTGGGGCTGCGGGCCTGCATCACATTTACCATGACAATGAAGATGGTCACACCCAGGAAAGGAGCTCCAACACCAGCCATCACCCGCCACCCTGCCAGCGAGAGGCCCAGCACCAGCGAGGGCAGGAGCAAGAAGCAAAGGAGGAGGTACAAGACTGCAAACCAGCGGTACTTGGCAGTGCGCTCACCCAGGACACGAGCCATCCTTATCGGCAGACGCATGAAGGGAAGAGGATACCAGAGCAGAATGCCAAAGATGTTGAAGAAGAGGTGACACAAAGCAATCTACATAAAGAGAAGATATAGAGATATTTACTCATTAACATTTCGCAGTTAGCTCCAGTTTCTGCCCTCCAGAGAGCTTATAATCGCAGTTCAGAGGTGGGATTTCTGAGATTGTGAGCTCAGAAAAGAAATGATAATGTAGTGTTGTTTACAAAGTATTTACTTTGGCCAACTCCACCTGAGAGAAACGCTTACTATACTCCGTATTACTCTGATGTGTGAGGAATGAGAGGCAAACTAAATAAACTCGCCTGAAGCCTACATGTCATGGGATTGAGGAGTAAGTCATCTGTTCACTCTGTAAATCAGAAACAGAAAACCAGAAATTATTTTCTCCTCCAGCCCTCAGAAACACTCTTTGCAAATTGAAACGATGTGTGCTTCTGAGCCAATCACAAGTGGTCACTTGAGACGCACGTGGAGACGCATTATAATGTCAGCTGTAAACAGGGCCTTAGTTTCCCAAGGGTGAACACAGAGCAAATATGTCTGTTGTAGTAGACTAGACATGTAGTAGAAACATTCTGTTTAATTTGGACTTGAACAAAACAAATAAACTTTAATTGCAGCCTGTACTGAGTTTAAAGTTCATTGATGGTCGAGTTGAAAATCAACTGTTTAATTATTGTTTCAAATAATCTGTTTTTAATTATATACCATTCTATATTTAATGCATGTTTCTTCTCCCACTCCAATCTTCCATCTGGCTCTCGTAAATCCTCCTTGTAAACACTTGACTTGACAAATGACATGTAAACTGCAACCCCAGCCTGGTGCGTTGAAAAAGCATGTGTTAGGGGCAGAATGCATCATACAGGCCCAAAAGCTGTTGTTATTTACATCCTCGTAAAGAATAGATAGGACTTGTTTTGTCATCATGTAACATTTGTTCCATAAACATAATCAGTGGCATGATATGGTTCTAATTTTCACTACAAATAACACTTTTTTTTCCTGGAGCATCGACTGAGTTGCGTCCAAAGCTCTTGCACACACGGTTATGCATAAATCCATGTTCATAAATATACATGGAGCATTTTCTCATTTTCCTGCAATTCTAAAATGGCTGTTGTGTCTGATTACTAGCTGATTACTGGCTTACTTGTATGGCTGCTGCTAGCTTGTTCCCAGGACTGGCCAGAGCTGCCAGCAGGGCTGTGGCAGTGGTACCAATGTTGGACCCGAGGGTGAGAGGATAGGCCCGTTCCAGACTGATCACACCAATGCCTAAGGGAGAACGACAGAAAGATGCTGCCTCAGAGGAAAACAACGACAGTAAACCCATCAATCCAACCCAGCTGACATAGGGCTACACCCTGGACAGGTCACCAGTTAATCACAGGGCTGACACACAGAGACAAACAACCATTCACACTCATATTCACACCTATGGGCAATTTGGAGTCACCAATTAACCTTTTAACCCATCTGTTGGAGGAAGCTGGATCACCCTGGGACACTAAATAAAGATGGTTTTCCAGGAAATGTTAAAGCTTCCGTCATCTTACTGTTTAAATATTTGCAGAGTATCTATTGCTTTATCAGAAACTAGGTGATGACACACTTTTATGAAAAGTGCATTGCATTTATCAGTGATGATAAACTGTATCTTTCTTCCCTGGGATTCCATTTCTGAGCTGCAGATATAATTTCAAGTCACTGCTTTTACTTTTTAGAATTAGGAGGGGTAAAATAAATGTTCTTGCTAAGAGTCATGAAAACTGCTCTCCAATTAAGCAATTAGCAATTTCAAATTAGCTGAGGGCAATTTATTTAAACTATTGAAACTATTTGAGTCCAATTACATCTCAGATAAATAGACAAAATATAAAACCATTAATATGTGGGGTTTCAAATCAACAAAAGCCAAATATCTGAAAAAGCAACAGTGGAATCATAGAGGCTGAAATATACCTTTGCCAGATAAGATGACTAATGACTGTCAAATGAGTGGCTGCTTGACAGCAACCAAAGTAGGGCTGTATCTAAAAGTACCAAAACTGTATGAAAATGATTGCTCTCTATCTGTTATTTTCTAATTTGTTTTCAATATATGAAACTATGACATGGTAACAGAAAGTAAAATTAACATAAATACTTAATGAGGTATATCTGTGGGTTAGAGTCTCTTGCCTTTTAGCTTTTTTTTCAATCCAATTGCTCCTGTTTAAAAAAGAGAAATTATTCCCATCTCACATTTATCACTGTGCAGCAGGCTGATGACTCAGTCATCACTGATTTTACATGCTTCATTTAGCCAGTGGCATACAGTGCTGGTTATGCAACATGTTCTTACAAACTTCACAAGACTCGATCAGTGGAAATAAGCAGGTTTATGTCCTTATTTGGCCTCATTCAGCAGGAGGCAAATGAGCTATTAGCCAACAAGGAAATTTGAGTTACTCTCTGTCTAGTATGAGAACACTAATATTAATTAGCCATAAATACATGACTAGAGATAGCAGGTAAACCTTTGCTCATAGTAAAATTAACAATTTATTACTGTGGCAGTAAATGTCTGTTTAAAGGTTGTGGTATGATAATTTATAACTTGGAGAAAAATCAGTGGCCTTAGAAACAACAGCCCAGTTTAGCTGCTAGATTACAGAGGGAATTCTTCTAGGTTTGATTTGTGCTCTGGTTTCCAGTAGTTCTTTTTCGGCCACATTTACTGATATACATGTAAAACATGAAATGAGATCATCTAAGTATACATTTGCAGTAGCAGTGATTTCAAACCTCAAATGCCAGAAGCAGAGTCCAGGCAAGTAACATGACTGATAGCCGCCTCTGGGCAGTGCTGGCCCATTCAAGAATAAGATCTGATACTCAGCATAGTTAAAGTCGAGTTTAGTTTTAGACATTACAAGAGACAGTCTCCCTGAAGGCCTGCACCAAATGAAACAGAGTCATAACTGCAGGGCCAGGATGAGAAGAAACCTAACATCAATCCAACCTTCAAACTGGACACTCGCTGGGATCACCCCCTAAGTTACAAACAGCACTTTCTCTAAGAACACTCAACACAGACTGGAGAAAAGTAACCAAACTGAGCAGAAAGTCTTGTTGACAGAGAGAAATGGGTGTGGTGTTTACAAAAATGAAGAACGAATTAAACTTAAGAAAAGCTTGTTTGGTTGCTCACCTGTGAGATTAATTGCCTGTGTGAATGGAACATGATCTAAATTGGATTCAATTCACAGTCCAAAGGACTGGATGATATTATTGATGATATTATATGAAATTTTACCTGATGATGGTGCCAGTAGAAAAGTCAGAGGCTCAAAGTTATTAGAATTATAGAGAAGGGGACATTAATGTGGGTACCAAATACCATGGCAATCCATCTAAAAAGTTGTTGAGACATTTGAAAACCATCATGATGGCATCGGAGAAAAAGTGCATCACCAGAGTGATTAGAACAGCTCCTCTGAGCACCATGGATATCTGTACCAAATGTCCTGGAAATCCATCTATTGTTGATATATTTCACTGCAAACCAAAAATGTCAACCTCATAGTGGCACCAGGGGAAAAGTCAGCACATCACCATGTCACCACAAAGTCCTTGGAACCATTAATGTCTGTACAAATTTATGTCTGAATCCCTCTAGTAGTTGTTGGGATATTTCAGTCTGTAATAAAGTGGTGGACCAACGGAGCCACCAACGGACCAACCAGTCAACATTGCCATCCTTAGAGCCTTGACAGCATGAATAATAAAAACACATAAAGTCACACTCCTCCTGGAAAAATGAGGATGCAGAGAGTTGAGCTATTACCAATGTAGTTTAAAGACAAGTTGTTAAAACAAGTGGTTGTCTCAATGTGGGCGGCAAGCATCAGAATGGTAAACTAAAGCAATCAGTCTCTCAGAAAAGTAAAGTTATGAATGCAAACAATCCAACCTCACTGCTTTGCTACACTGTGAATATTATCTGATTTGATACTTTGTGGATGTTATGTGATCCAATCAGTCCCATGTCCTCTGTTTCTACACACAAAGAGCACATACTGTAAAACTTGCAGTTTGTCCAGCTTGCCTGACAGACTTTCTATATAGAGAATAAAGCGGTGGACAAAGGGATCAAATAGTTGTTAACATTACTCAAAAATAATGCAAAAAGAAAAGGTGGTGAAGACAGTGTACAAATTTCAACTCATATTATTCAGTATTTTAACTCTGGTCACTGAGGTGGGTGGTGGATGAGAGCAAGAAAGGCAGTATATATCTAGGAGGGTAAAATAAAACCATGCTGCAAGTTTTCCTGCTTATGTTGTCTTCATACTGTATAATATTAGCAGCCACTTGCTGAATAGGGCCACTGAAAAGACAACACTAAAGTACTTTAGGTCATTAAGAATTTATGAAACTTTTACACAAACTTACAGTAAAGATCTGTAGCAGCGCCAGTACACCATGTCAGAGCAATTATTACAGTCACTGATTAGTCTAATTGTGGACAAACCATCAACAAAAAATATTTATTTGATGTCTTTCCAGCTACATTATAAAAAAATTGCCATTTAGTTGTATATTAGTTAAGTGCCTTTTTGTTTATCCTCAGTTGTGGTGTTTTGCAGAATATAATCATATTATTTTAACAGAGGAAATGTTGTTAAGCCTACTTAAATTGATTAGAATTCATAATACTAAATATATCTATTCATTTATTTTACTTCACAGCAACATCCGTCATTTTACTTAACAGATGTTGGTATTTCATAACATTTTGGTGAATGTATTTTGTTGGCGGATGTCATCATATTTTAAGTCTATTACAGAAAAATAACAATCAGAGAGTTCTGTAAATGTATGACTTCTTATTAAGATTATTAACATATTGGTCACATATTTTTATTCTTTTTAATGTATGGCATATGTATGTATATGTATGTATGTATGTTTTGTACATATTTTTTACATAGGTTTTCTAATTTCTACGCTTTGAGGCTCACTTACACTCACTCACCTACAAGGGGAGTCATGGCTGAAGTGAAGACAGAGCTGCTCTGGACCACAAATGTTACCCCTGCACCCACAACCATGGCCATGTATCCTGTCAGCCATCCAAACGGATAAAGCAGGTCTGTTGAGATAAAGCAAAGAGAGATGGAAATTACCCACATGTATAAATAAAGCATTACTTTAATTATACTATCTTCTACACAACCTCTTTCATGCACCCAAAGCAGCACATAAAGGTTTTCTTGGTTTGGTTGCTCATTTGAAAACTGCAATCTGCATATTCAAGCCCTAAATGTACCGCTACATGCAATGTGTACAAGCTCCAGCAGCTTAACAGCATGCCAACCTGTGTTGATGACTGTATGGATGACCTTTGCCACTTGGCCTTTAAGAAGAGAGTTGAGCAGCTTGACTAGAAGGAGGAGACAGGTGCAGAGGACAGCCATAGAGCCTGCCAGGAGAATTAGGCCCACAGTGAGGTCTGACAGCTCGGTGGATACAAACAAATGCCTACCTGCAAAGTGACAGGACCAACAGTCAAAAGAAAATGTGTACTACAATTATCAGCATCACCGTACAATTCACAAGAGTGTTACAGATATTGATTTTGAACTCACACTTCAGTGAAGACTGGGACAAGTCATGGCTGGGGCCACAGTTTTCAGTGCTCACATTGCCAGTGGACTGTAGAAAGAAAGAAAGAAAGAAAGAAAGAAAGAAAGAAAGAAAGAAAGAAAGAAGCAACTATGATGAAACACAATGTAGCAACACAGTTGTCACTGGCAGCAGTGACAGGCTCTATTTGGCGCCAGTGTGTGACACAATTGTCTGCATGTGCAGGAGACAGTGCTGGAGACAATCCATTACCATAACAAGGTCAGTCTGGCACCATTCTTTCACCAGGCTCCTGTTCCTCATGTCCTCATTTCCCATGGCGATCCCCGTGATCACACACTTGTCCAGCTGAGGGTGAAAGGAGAAATATTTTTCATCTTTTAAGTTCAGCGAGTTAAAGTAGCAAGGTTAAACCCTCAGTCCTTCAACCAGAAGGCCTGCAGTTTATAACAATAATGGTGGTAGATTTACCACCAGAAATTCTCAGTCATTCTTCAAACAATGGCTCCTGCATTTCAGGCAGAGGTAAACAAAAGCAGGCTTCTAGTTACTGTGATTGTAACTATGATTGGTCAGTGACAAAAACGGTGACTGGCTGATAGTTTTACCTGTATGATGAGCTTAGTGACTGGCTCGGTGATGACCTTGAGCAGCTCAGGTGCTTCTTCCCCAGGCTGAAGCTTGAAGCTGGTGACCAGCAGGTGTGACAGCCGGGCCATGAGACCACTCGCCACCTCCAGCGGCAGCAGAACCAGGACAGACAGCCAGTTGAAGCAGTCATGGATTGTTGCCCCGGCAAAGGCACTGCAGTGGGTCACAATCATTTTCTGTGTCAACTAAGGTCAACCATCAGCATGATCAACTACTCAAAATGATTGCTTGTTAATATGCTTTTCACGGCTCAATTTTTGTATGTGTGTGTGATGTAATGAGCATTCTGGTTTTGCCTCAGTGTGTGAGTATATTGTTAAAGATTAATAAATTATGTTTATTTTACCAGACACATATTAAATAACATGCCATCTGTTTAGTGCCATATCTTTCATGCCAAAGGGTTAGTGGTGTGGGATCAGTGTGGATTGGTGCCATTATTGTCACTGTTACAGAAATTACACTGAAATAGAGACTGAAGCAAAGAGGCAGTGAACAGCTGCTAATGCTTTCTCTGCACCCTCCTCTGCTTCCTCCCCTGCACTTTTATCCTTAGGTTCTCCATCTTCCCACTTATCCTCTTCACTTTTCCATTTCAATTTCTTCTTCCTTGCTCTTCAGCTTCCCCTCCACTCGCCCTCCACCTTGCCACCTTTCTTCACTTACCGTTGAAACTCGGTCCTCTCTGCGGCCTGCATCATGGCCACTATGGTGTTCGTGACTGAAGTCCCAATATTGGACCCCATGATGATTGGAACAGCCGACCTCACCTCTAGCACTGTGAGATGAGACCACACAGAAAACGATACATTTTACTCAAAAGTCGACAATTCTTAAATCTATATAGTTAAACAAAAAAACATTTAAATTGGTCTACGTATGCCGTCATTGTGAACGGTAATTGCATCACGCACATGATTACAACACGTGACCTTGCCCATTTCAGTTTTAATGGAGATGAAAGGTGATTTGCAGGTAAGTGGATGAATGCTTAGCTTTCACACTCTGAAGAGGTGTTTATTGTTGAGGATGCTTCTATGACCTGATGATGACCTAGAGAACACAGTGGACTTGTACAGTCATACTTCCATGCCTCTGCATCTCTTTTTTTCTTTGATAATTGCCTATTATCTTCCTCCAAGCTCACTTACAAAATAGATTTAGAAGCAGAGAGGCAGCTCCTGCATACTGATACAATTCATTTTAACCTAATAGACAAAGATTGGAGACCTCAGAGTCTGCACTCGTTAGGTTGTAACCTTACTGTGTAATGGCCTTATGAGGCATGTTAAACTGTATACTGAATGAGCGACTGAGAGAGATTACAGGGTGTGAAATATTTTGATTTCATTATCTCTCTGATCCCAGTCTAACCTGCTAGATTACAGTAATTCACAGATGGTTTTTACAAATGGCCACCACAGCACTACAGTCTCAAAATGGCAGTTTCAGGTCTGTCAGTGAGTGTGTGGTAATAATCACACAAAAGAAAGATTCAGTCATAGAAAGTTTAATGCTCATGATATTTTAGATTTTTTGTATTATATTATTATATTATTTTTATATTTATATTATTTATTATTTATATATATATTATTTATATATTTTTTTGTATTATATATATAAGGCAGAAACCAATAATAAATGCAATGTAAAAGTATTTTAGGTAAAACCTGATATGGCTTATTATGTGGCATAGACCTCCATTGTTGTCCAAAAACTATTAAGAACACATCAGTGAGCCATAATGTTGCACTAGCTGACTTGTTCCCTTCATCAGGATGAACATGGGCATTGTATATTATTTTTAATCAATCCAACATACACAGTCCAGCTGCTGGACATATTCATAAGAGCACCTAATGTTTATAATACACAGCCAAAAACAGTCCAAACAAATGCACTCTTTACTCCTTAAGGGTGTTAGTATGTTTACCAAAAACTACAGACCGGCCGTTTCAGGAAATTATTATTTTTTTTTAAATTAAAATATGTATATGCAACATAGGACTGTGTCTTTAGTAAGAATGAATGGGGCTTGAGGTTGAGAACCGGAGACCGAGTATGGAAGATGTAAAGTATTGATCAACAAATCAACATATTTTTTGGTCTTGGTTGTGGTCTTCTCATGGGATTTGTGGAAAATAAGATCAATATAGAGTAACACCAGAATTATCCTTTAAATTACATCACAAGATAATAGAACGTGCCTCTTGGTTCTTCATCTGCTAGTTAACAGTTGACTGATGGGGAACACTACGTATATATATATAAAGCTAAATCTTCCTCTGTCCTAATTTGCTTACATTTATGCTTTTAACAAAAGCTATATTTGCTAATTTGGTCCTTAATACCAAGCAGCCAATGAAGTAGTATAATTTACTGAATCATCCATGGGGAACACAGCATGACATTGGCCCTGAAAAAAAGATTATAACTATGAACTCCAAATTAATTCGATGTATTTGTTATTGTCACACCACCAGTTTTTTGTTTTTATTTCTATGTTACTGTTTTTCTGTTTATTGTAATATCTTTTCATGTAAAATAATAGCCACCAAGAGACATGGCATATAGTGTATAGATCCCACAAACACACACACACACACACACACACACACAACATACAGTATCTCGGACTAAATGAAGCCAGCCTGGACGTCTTTATTTCATTGTCTTATTTAAAACTTGAAAAGACTACAGTGGCACTCGCACATTCACACACACTTTTATGTGCCTACTCACATCCGGAGGCTACCAGACTGACGACGATAGAGGTGGAGGTGGATGAGCTCTGGACCAGCACAGTCACCAAGATCCCCACCACCAGCCCTGCCACAGGGTTAGACAGCACCGCATTGTCCTGGAAAATGTCCCCTGCCACTTTACCTGGTTAAATATGCCGCCCACATACACACAGAGACAAACATAAACAAAACAAAAAAAACTAGTGGTCTCAGACATGACAGGGTTGCCAAGAGCAATGTTAAACAAGATTCAAACTGCTTGTTTCCCCAAATCCAGAAAGGTCAGTAGATGAAGCTTTGCAGTAAATTATACAGCACTGTCCCAGTAGGACAGTGTGAACTGCAGTGACTCAGTTAAAATTGGAGATAAACACGCAGGGTAGAAAGATGAAGCAAGGCTGTATTAATTGCCATTGTTATTAGAACAATCACCAGCACCTGGTTTCACTCTTCAAGACACAGAAGTCAAGTTTCTGTTTTATGCAGATGATTCTGTCTCTTACTAAAGAAGGTCTACAGCAGAGCCTGGAACTTCTCCATCATTAGTGTCAGACCTGACAGTTATCTTGAAGAAGACCAGGATTATCCCCTTCCAAAAAGATCAAGTTTACAGAGAAATGACACAACATTAAAAATAGGAGGGACCCAGTTAGTCCAAACAAATACCTATACTTACCTAGGTTTACAAATTAGTTCCATAGGAAACTAATCTTCTGTGAAGGAACAAGGCAAAAAGGGCTTTCTGTGCCATCAAACATTCAGTTCAAATCCAAATTCCAATTAGGACATGGCTCGAAATATTTAAATCAGTGAAGTATGTAGCCTCTTACTAAAAAATGATTGGGCACAATGGGACAGAATCCAATTGAGACCATGCATACAGAGTTCTGCAAAAATATTCTTTGGGTACAAAGAAATACCCCAAACTCTGCATGCCCGACTAAATTAGGCCAATATCCTTTACTTCTAACAATTCAAGAAAGCCCCATCAAATTCTGGAGCCATATTAAAAAGAGTAACCCTGCCTATTGTTAATGGTAAAGCCCTTGCCTACCAAGAGTTAAACATAGAAAGGAGTCCCCTCAGTCAACTGGTCCTGAGGCTGACCTTTCAACTTCTGACATCACAAATCCCAGCCAGCCTCAGAGCAGTTACACCATCACTCAGACCTAACCTAAGATTAGACCTAACCAAATTCTAACAAAATAAAAATAAATCACATATTGGAATGATATATGCTGACAACACAAACTATAAACCCATTTTGCCCTAAGGAGACAGTTGTGGCAGACTACCTACAGATAACAACCTGAGAAAGACATTGACAGTGTACAGACTGAGGGATCATAGTCTGGCAATAGAAAAGGGCAGACACAGGCAGACCTGGCTTCTCAGAGAGGACAGGCTGTGCAGCCATTGTGAAGCTGGAGCTGTAGAAACAGAATTACACTTGGAAATATTAGGAATTCTTTTTGAAATTTGAAAGAAGTTTCCCTGAATTCCGAAGAAAGAGAGAAATTACCCCTCACTATGGGGTGAAAGAAAGAATTTGCATTGATGCCACAAAAAAGAGACAACCAGTGGGACATACTGCAGATATATAGACAGACATCTATGAATATAAAATATAATTATATTTTACTATCCCCATTTGTTTGACTGTTTTTTCTTCTGTTGTCACATTGAATATTACTAATTTCAAATGTCATAACAGTAAAGCTTATTGAAATGAATTGAATCATGTATTTGTCAAACATCAACTGGCTGAGTCACTATCAACCCGCTGAGGGTTCGGTGCGGGTTATAGTACTTACCCCCTGCTAACTGGAAGGCAGAACTCAGAGTGTCCAAGGAGCAAACAAAGAAGAAGAGGAGGATGAAGAGGAGAGGGATCTTGGATAGATTTACGAGGAGCTGCTTTATCTTGTTCACACTCACTGCTGTGGTCTGTGGAGAGCTGTCTGTTCAGAACAACAACAAATAGAGAGATGTGCGCACAATGTGCTCTAAGTCTGGAGAGCAAAGTTGACCTCATTTAAAAAAATGTATCACAGATAACAGAAACATTTGCTGTTTATGAAGACTACATTACACTCTTTTTCTTATTCTTGTGATTTCTGTGTTCTGGATGAGAAGGATAGCCTCAGTATGCATTCTCACATGTAGAGAGCAAAGCCATCTGATATACTACATTACACATATGCAGCCAAAGACTGCTGAGTGACAGCAGGACTTGGCATTTGTTGCCCAGACTTTATTATCCCACTGGCCCTGTGTGTCTTTTGAGCATGTCCTTATCCAATGAGCATGTGGTTCAGCTTCTGCTGTTGTTATTTGCCTTTTCAAAGAAATCAGACCTGCTGCCAACCCAGGAGATGAATGTGTGATTCTCCTCTTTGTGCCACTCTTGTACCTTTCTCTTTTGGGAGTCTGTCTGCCTCCCTGAGTGAAGGTGTGTTGAAGCGGTGATTGGTATGTCGGTCGTAGCCCTCGAAACTGCTGCTGAGGTCAAGGGTGGAGCCAAGCCCAGATTCCCTGTCCTCCTCAAGCGGGAGTTTGGGCTGTGAGGAGAGCTGAGTGATATGCATCCTCAACCCTAATAACAAAGAACAAGTACACACTCAAGTGGTGAAGATCAGCTTTGAAGCATTTCAAACACATAAAAAACAGAATTATGGGAATTAAAACTAATAAGTTACCACTGTAGGCGAGCCCTGTGCTCCGTCCAGAGGACACTATTGTTATAGATCGAGATGACATGGTGCTTTGAATGCTGTGCAGAGACATGGAGGTAATTAAAATCACAGGATGACACAATTGTAGAGGGAAGAAATGTGAGAGTAGACGTGTTTATCAGCCACCTGCAGCAGTAAAAAGAAGTCAAAGGAGACCAACATGTCTGTATATGAGCCCATCTCTCACTGCGCTACTGAGATCAACAGACAGGCAATTAGACGGAAACAAAGGCAGCCCACATTGTTTGTAATTGGCAGCTGTCCTTGACACCACAACAAATGCCTTGTCGGAATCAATAAGGAAACATCAGTATCCATGTAACTTGTCTTGTCCTCCTTGTTTCCTGCAGCTGCAAGTCAGCTCTTAACAGGACTCTCCACTGTCTATAGAGCAGCAACTCCCTTCAAAGGTTTTCACACTCTCGGTTTTAAAGAGACCGCTTTTCCCCTTTTCATGTCAGCCACTTTGCCATATACTGGGGACTCCAGCGGAGGAGGGAGTGCTAATGTGTCTCTTAAAAGCAAAGAGGATGGAAGTGAATTCAGTAATTACGGCAGCCAAAATTACAGTAATTACAGCCACTGCATCGTTCTCGTTCTGTGCGGCATCCTCCTGCAGGTTGTGATGTACAGAGAGGCCCTGTTTGCATATGTACATCTATCTATATGTGGGAGTATCTAAGACAAGTTCCCTAGATTGCAGTTGAATTCAATAAACTTTTAATGCGCTTGTGCACATTTGTGTGTGTGTATACTGACTGTTATCCTCTAATCTATCTGCCCCACGCTCATCTGTTTGCCAGTCTGCCACTCTCTCTGTTTCTGTCTCAGTTATCTATTTGCGAGTTTGCCTTCAAGTCACTGTGACTCACATGTATATTTCTAATGTTGTTTTGCTCCACCAAATATTTTACTAATTGAGTTTTACTTAAAGTAGAAAAAGAAAAGGAATAATGAAACATTTAGTACCTGTTTTCGACCTGTTCCCAACATTTTATAAAAGGATGTATGAGCTAGTGGGTCCCACAGCTTTAGGTAAAATGCCGGAATTCAATTTATAATAAATTATTCATTTGAAATAATAACAGAAAGCGTCAGCGTTGATGATAGTGGCTTTCAACACATGGTATTAGGTGGGAAATGTTGCTTGTCATAAATATTTGATATTGACATATGCAGTGAAGTGTCTTACCTTGTCTGAAACAGGCAGGTGTAGTGTGTGACCCCCTGGAAAGGAAAGTATTAAAGTGAAGTGTGAATCATCTTTAAATAAGCCACCATGTTTGTAGGTGTCAGGAGGAACACCTCATCCCTTGTCGATTAACCTGCTCCATCACCAGAGACCTTGTAGTTAATCAATAACACAAAGCCTTAACTCAATGATGCATAAGTATGGAGAGCACGTTGTGTATTAGGTGATGAATGATGTTTGCCCAACCAATATTTTTCACCTGATTTGGGTCCAGATAAAGATTCCAAGATGAAGAGGGCTGTTTGATGTGATTAGTGATCCTTGCTGTTTGAGGTTCTCCCAGTTTCACGTGTAATAACAGGAGAAATCTGACATCTAGTGGTAACTGTTGGAAGACATGTGTCAAGTCCTCTCATATTCTCACATAGCTGTTTTCATCCCGGCGCTGGCAGCCTGGCAAAGATTAAAGTCAGGGTATTAAATGATAATTTCCTCCATGAGATAAGTCAGTGAAAGTATTTCAAACACGTACAATGTAATCTGCTTGACTTGTGCAGAATGTTCAGGTGCTTAGGTACCTTGCCAGAACTCAAGATCAAGCATGTTGTGATTGGAATTGAACTATCAGAGAGATTTTCCGAGATCCTCTTAACACACACGTACACACATTTACTCACACACCCCACTACCCACAAGCAATGTCTTTCCTGCCATGCGGGAGAAGTCTGTGATGGCCTGGGTAAAAGGGTAATTGTTAATAATTAGTCCAGCTACAGTTCTGTCATATCAGCAGTGCTCTCAACCAAATCTGCCAAACCTGCTGACCCCAGACTTGCGTCCGTGAACTCAGAGGAGCAGAACTTAATAACCCCCTAAACTGAGTTGTTACTTTCCAAACTGTTATGGGAGCTGTGAGCCAGAGGGAGGTAACAGCTCTGTTGTTGTTGTGCAGGCAGCTGGACTGCTGCCTTCAATGGTGGCGAAGGGAAAAGCAGTGGAACAGAGAAACAGAGACATACATGCACGTATATGGACACACATGTAATCACTTATGCACACACGGCTAAATCTCTGGCATGGTCCCAGAGCTCTTTGATTTAAAAAAACACGACAACTCCTCCATGATGTTGTTAATCCGCTCTCCAGATGTGCAATTCAGAGGGAGGTCACTCCACTTTGGGATGAACCAAACAGAGGCCACCAGGTCGTCATCCTGTCACTCAGAACACCTGCCAATCAGTAAGCCGTGGGTGCGCTCTGTTAGCTCTCCTCTGCTCCTCAGTAGGCCGTGTTATCCCGTTAATCTTACACTGAGGCACACCATATGTTTTCAGCTCCCAGTCTGTTATTTGTGTGAAGGGAATTATGTCAGTTAATTATCTCTGGATGTACGGCAGGTGATACGTTGACCTCCGTTTTTGCTTTGATCATTTTTATTATCATCAGTGTTGTTGTAATGTTGCTTTTCATAAAGAAATTCCAAAAGAAAACCCTTAACCAAAGCTGCATATTTTGCCCACAACACAAGCTCTCCAGGCGTGGCGTAACAGCAGCTGTCGAGTACAACTGATCCATTAGTCAAATCACAGAAAAGTCACTGCCAACTGTTTTTAGGAATTAATCGTACTTTACAAAAAAGGTGCCAGCAATCCACTGGCTTCAGCTTCTCAAATGTGAATGTTTACTGTTTATTTAGCCATCTATTATATTAAATTAAATATATTTGTGGTTTTGGACTGTTGCCAGATAAAACAAATTTAGTGAAGGTGTTACCTTGGAAATTGTGATGAGGATTATTTTCCTATTTACCAAACAATTAATCAATTGTCAACTGTAGTCCTAATTTGGAAATTAAAGTTGATAAGACTATTTGTGTTGAGTAGGATTTCATAATCTGTTGTATTCGACAGCCAACTTGTTAAAATTTTAAATAGCTTCATACAATTGTGGACCATCAGTCCACATTTTTCAAAAAATGTCCATCAATCTTGAAAATCAAAGTTTACAAAACTATAACTTTAATGTTCTACTCACCAATCATTTCCCACTGGGATTATTAAAGTATTTCTGATTCTGATTCTGAACATCGTGGTTTTGTCTCATGAACTGCGGGTACAAGTGAGAGTATGTAGCCAAAATAATTACGAAACCCCAGATGAGGCTGATTGACTTGTACACTATTGGGACAGACAAAAAATAGAGCCGCAATCATCCAGACACTTCTCATCCCTTATGTCCTCAGTTTGACACTCTGACCTCTGGGAGGTGCTATAAGCTGCCTTTATTTCAACTGCAATTCTCTCTCCACTGTATTTTATTTTATGTTTTAATTTTTCATGTTTTGTTTTAAATATTTCATTTATATTTTCCATTAGTGTGCTATGTTTTATGTCCTATTTGTTTTATATGTTGCATGTGTTTGTGTTGCCTTTATGCTTTGGTGACCTAAAGGCACGTTTCCACACTAGGGCAATGAAACCATTAAGCTTTATTTCATTCTAGTCCAATTTAATTACAGAGGATCTCAATGTAATGATTAAATAACCTCTTATCCTGTGGTTTAACTGGGATTTGTTTGTGGAATTTCCTGTCAGCCTTCTGCTGATATTGAGGTCTATGTCTCTTTGCTCCTCCAACCTCCACCACCAGCATCATGGTCCAGTCTGCTGTTCCAAAGAGGAAATATCTCTGCTGTTGTGGTTTTACCCTTAACAAAGTTATGTAAGAGACTTATACTCAAAGTCAAAGCCTGTATCAAAGAACCAGATTCAGTGGCATCTCGCCGTGACGTTGCAGATTGCAACCATTTGAACACAGCTCAGCCTTCCAAGCATGTAGGAGAAAATACGGTGGCTGTCAAACTCAAGAAAAAACCTGATCTTCTGGGCTACTGTAGAAACATGGTGGTTCAGTTTTGCAAAATATATTTTTTTATGTCTCACAGCTTTCACTCCTTTCTGTCATTACATGAAGATGTTCAATATTCAGTGATGTGTTTTAAACCTACAGTATTTCACCAATTCATGAGATGTTTTATGTGAATGACAGCATAGTAAGGACAGATTCACTCAACACCATCACTTTATTGTCAATACACATTCAGTGTGGTATGTATACGACACTCACAGTACAATGAAATAGCATCATCACAGGTGTCCTTTTGTTTACATGCGATTGTTTCAGTGTGCATTAACTTGTGTGTGTTCAATTTAACATTTTTATACAGTATCCTTCAACAAATCACAAATTGATTGTTTGCATGTTTTATAATCTAGTTCACTATTATCACTATCATATTTTGTATGTTTCCCTGTGTACATATGTACATTTTTATGCATGTTGTGTCTTTGATGATCTTGTAGCTTGATGGCAACGCTAATGTCCTGCTGGCCCTTCCTTTTATCATTTTAGTTCCTCTGTGGAGGATGTAGGTGTATCAGAGCCATCAGGACACTCCTGAAAAACAGAAAGACACATTGACGATGAGAGATGAGAAGAGATGCAGAAATAAATGCACAACAGTGTCATACTTGCCTCAAAACAGCCATAAAAAAGCCATATTTAATACTTTTTTTTGTTAGTTTGTTTTCCAGTGGATTTAAATACAGGAACACGTGCACAACTCACCTTCACTTTGTCCAGCTCTGGTCTACCTGGGAGGGATTTTTGTGAGGAAAAGGCCTGTAAGGTAAAACAGGGCAGTCACATTAGATCTGATGAGTATGAAAGTAAGTATGAGCATTAATGTCAGGCTGCTGCTCACCTTCTTTGTCTGTTGCATCTCCTCTGTGGATTTGGACCTGTTCTTCATGTGCTTCTGAGGAGAAGTGGTGGTGGGACACTACATAGATAAACAGAGAGAGAGAGAGAGGAGAGAGGAGAGGAGAGAGCGGAGTTAGAGAAGAGGAGGAGAGAGAGAGAGAGAGAGAACCATTATTAGACACAGCAGGAATGACTCCAATAATATTATATTATTGTATCAGGCTTCAACACACCTCATTCGCCTTCTGTTCCATGGTTGACTTAAAGATTTATCTCAGGAGAAATTCTGTGCTGATGCAGGTTTAGGATTGCAGTTTTATAACTATGAAGACAGAAACAGAAACTTTATAGCCATGCAGTTGTATGCAAAAAAATTCAAGACCACAGTTCTCAGAGTGGAAGTACAGATATAAATTCACTTACTACAGCAAATTTATTTTTGCTATTCAAATGTAACAAAAAGCGAAACTGATCCCTGATTGATCTTACTTTCCTGAGGGGCCAGATGAGCTCCAGTCTGCAGTTATAGCCTCTCTTCACTAGATGGCGACTCTGACTCAGGGACCCACTGTTGGCACCGCTTCACTGATCTGAGTATTTTGCTGGGATTTTCCTCAAGGGGATTAACCCTGGGGTTTGGTTTAATTGTCACACTGAGATGTACACACTGCTGCTCGCATTATTGCTTCTTGTTTTGATTTGTAAAGACAGGCAGAAAAACACCTGCTTCAAAAGTTAAAAAAATCTGCCATCATCACAGCCAACTAAAGTATAGCCAAAAATGGACAACCACCTACATTGGCTAGATGGACTTATGAATTAGCATCATATATACCAAGATGTGGGGTGGTTTTATAACATTTGGGCTGATCAGGCATATATGCGTTTATATTTCTGTACATTGTTGAATTATTCAGCCGTAGGCCTGTTATGTTACAAAATCCATTAAAACTATGTTGGGAAAAAACACAGATGTTTCACCTGACTAAAGTTGATTCAACTCTTATCATTCAGCTGACAGAAATCATTACAGAAACCAATTATTAAAATGACTTTTTGATGGTATGATGATAATGTCTCCTATCCTTTTCCTTACACTTATATTCAATCAAATTTTAACATTTTTGTAACTGAATGTTATAAAATGAAGGCTTGTGAGTCCAAACAGCAGAGATGCTTCACAGTCTGCCAGCCTTAAGGTTTTGGACCCAGCAGGGTACATTTCCAGACTGAACTGTCATGCCTGGAAACTCAAGATAAACAAAAAATAAATAAAATTTAGTTTAACAAAATAGTAGAGATGCAGATTAAATGCTTTAAAGAAATACCATAAGGGAATAATAAGAAAAATCATCCTTGAATAGGGATAGAAACAGAGAGATATCAACACCCTCACACACAGTTGGAGCCATGACGGACAAAAAACTATTTCTGCACCACTGAAAGGTCATAATGTAGTCCAGCCAACAGTCACAGCCAGATCCACAGCTGGTGTCTGGAGCCCTGGTGGCCAGAGACAAAACACCTCTGGGGTCTGGTTCAATTTGCAGGAGACTTTTTTTTATTCTCCAAATATCTGTGCCGCCTGACAGTGTCTGCTTCTGTCTGACATCTGACCAGACAGATCAGATCAAAATGCTTCCCAGCATCTCGGGGTGTTTTACTGGTTTTCCTGTTCTGCTAGGCACTTTAAAAGGTGGAGACACAGATGGGACTCAAATGGCTGCGTAGGATATTAGACAGTTTTAGACAGATGTGGCTCATAATAAAGCAGTGATGTGTTAAATATTATGAAGGGGGGAAAAGGACAAGTTTGAAATTTGTAAAAATTGTAATTATTATTAAATATTAAATTAAAAAATGTGTTTGGTACTTAATATGACAGTAAGTAACCTGAAAGCAAGTTAAAGCCACTGAAACTTGGCTTCATATGTTAAGTAGGCTATTTCTCTATAACATTGTGTTTAGGTGAGAGTTTAACTAAAATCTCACGTAATGTGCCTCATAATGAATGTATAGGTGTGATTTGATCAGATTTGATTGATAACAACTCATCAACTGTCATTTTGATTGAGATGTTGCTAATTTCTGATTGGTACACAGAAATTTTGACATCACATTTTTCTTCAAGAGCCCCACCCACTTTAAACCAGTAAAAAGAGCAAAGAGAAAAACAGAAATGTGGAAAGCTTTCAGGTTAAAGAACCAAAACTGTTCTAAATTTTGCCGAAATATGTGTGTTCATGTCAGACACAATCATTCGTAGTTAGACGCTGATTGAGTTTCAGTAATTTTGTGCATTATATTAATGATGAAGTGGTGAGACACAGAACCAAGATAAAATAAAACGTAGAGAGGGATCACTTTCTGATCTGATTCTGAACTGACAGTGAATTGTCTTCGACCCAGTTAGACCCCGTATACAGTACGCATTCAGCCCAGGGCTCATGAAGAATGAATGGGGGGCGATCGACAGCGGCTCACTCACCCACTGTGACGGCTGACGTCAGCAGTTATGGTAGTACCACATTTGATGCTGCAGGGAACTCCATTAGAAAATCCCACTGGGGACTGGAATATATGTGATATTCAACAAGGTCTACCCTTTAGGCATCTGAATGATTTGCACCAGAAGGGCTGACCCAGTGGGGTGTGCCCAGTATCTTTCATACATTGGGCCTATTATGCACATACATGCTGGTTCAGTTGGCACACCCAGAGGTATACAAGACTGTTGTACTGCATGCACTTATCCTAAAATGTGCATTACAGTCCTTTGAGGATAATCTCAGCCTTGATGGAGTGGCAGACATTCAGTGAGTCCTGAGTGCTCTCTCTGACCAGCTCACTGAGGGAAATGACCTAAATGAGAATGATTTCCCTGCTTGCCTCACCCTGTCTCTCTCCCTCTGCTTTCCTCTGTCATTGTTTGTCCATCTTTGGTTAAATGAGGATTCCCTTCTTTGGAGGCGAGGCAAAGGGATGGAGGTCTGCATAGGCTAGAGGGAAGCTGGTAGAAGCACATCTCCATTGTGGCCGAGGTAGAAAAGCCCTGTGGCTTCGAGAAGAACACTTCTCCATTGATTAATCCACATGAGCAAGCTAACAACAGCCAAGGTGACACATCCAACAACACTACGCCTCTTTATGGCACTCAAAAAAAAAAGGGTAAACACACAAATGCACACTATGCTCATACATTATAATGTAGACATGGGCATATACACACACAAAAGCAACTCAGGGACTTAAAAGCTACTCTTTCTGCAAGGATGGGCAAATATAATTTGTTTGCCTTGCAGTCATTTCCACTCTTTTCCTCCTTCCATCATCACTTCAACAGATACACTGCAAGAGGAGGCTGAGGTAGAAAAGTTTAATAAGAGTACTTAGCCTTTACAGTCCATCATAAAATGCTGATGTAAGCATCTGCATTGCATAAGGAGAAAATCTTTTTACAAGATTTAAATCCATTATAAAGACAAAGATTGGCCCAGCTCAACTCTTTCAGTGTTGGGTCAACACTAATTAACTCCCCAACTGAGAAGCACAGCATGACGAGAACTTCTTAAGCTTCATTTCAGTGTGTGTGAAAAAAGAGTTTTGCAAGAACAGAAAAGATATCAAAGACAACAGTACAGTCTAGTTGCATCTACATCATCACTCCTGCTGTCTTCTTGAGCTTTGCCAAAAAAAAAAAGGTCTGCCCATCTGCCAAATGACTACCTGCTGAAGACACAGTCACTTCTGATGTCTCTATCTCCAACAATGACAAAAAATATCCTAAACATTTTGGAGATAGTTTCCACTCTTTTAGGTCAACTAATCCCCATAATTTCAGTCCAGGAGGTGAAACTGAAGCCAGGTCTGACATTGCTGCCTTGCCACATCTGTGCTGTTGAACATCCTAATCACAAAAGATCACATATTCAGGATGTGTATAATTATAGAGGCCGTTATAGCACATACATACACACATAGGTGGTTAGAGCAGCAAGGGGAACATGTGGACAGTAACTGCACCAGCAGCCGGGCAGAGAGCACATTAAGACAGCTCACAGTGGCAAGGACATTATGTCCTTTAATTGATGATGATGGGCTGTCTGTTCTGCCACGCTCAGGTGTAACACAATGAACATACACCCCAACCCCCCCCCCCCCCCCCCTGGGGGCGTT